TGATTAAGTCATTGGTCATGCAGAATTCTGTCATGCAATCTGGTGTCATTTGTATCATTAAGGCCACATTTTCCAGCCACAACATTCATTTAGAACTGGAGAATCATAATTTAAAACCACAATGTTAGTTCAGTGGTTAGACACCAAATCTTTACATTTCAGGCCTTTATCTTTAATGAGAGGTTTTAGGAAGAAGGCTTAACTAGGGCTGGAACTTGGCAGAGGTCCTCCTTAGCCAGGGTCCAGGGACAGAATCTCAGTTCCATCTCTGTGAATGAGCAGAAATTTAGGATTTATGTGTGAACTTGTCACCTGTGCTCCACATGACAGGGGATGGTATGACATCAAAGATGAGTACGTTGTGTTATCTCCAGGGTTAGCAAGTGGCTGAATGACACACATCTTCAAGGTCAGAAATTCGAGTGGTTGTTTAGAGTCACGTTTTCTCGTATTCCGCATGCCAAGTCAAGGTGAACTTAAAGATAGTTTATGTTCTTTCAAGATTTCACATACTTCTTTTTCTATGTCCAAGTTCAGAAATTTTCTAAGTTATTTCCTCGTGACTTATAAGTGGCTAATTATCATTAATATTAGGGAGCCTTATAAAGATAGAGCCATTTCTCTATAGGCTAATGTATAATTTGACATTGTGAGTGCTTAGTCATATGTACTTTGAAAGCATAATGGTGGCTTCTACCTCATGGGATTTGAGATCATTACAAAAACATAGAGAAGAGGTTTCCTGAAGAATCTTATACAATCTTTTCCTTCCCATATAGCCTTCAAGACTAGAATACAACCTAATAAACGATAGTCTGGGACTGTTACACTATTTACAGGGTAGTTTGGGTAGAAACAGGAAGATAATATGCTCAGCCTTCGCATCTGTAAACCTATGATACATGGAACCTGCACTTGCATTTTGGTAATATCGTGTAGGATCTTCACTGGGGTTTTATCACCTTAGCTAATCTGTCTAATAGTAATACCCTGAAACCTGTGAGAGCCAGAACGCCACAGGACTGCCTTGTTGTTCCGGGGCTTGCCCATTTTCCACTTTTTGACAAAATATGGTCATACTACTTTTCGGTCACTCTTTATTAGTGGAAAATATTTGCATTTTGTTTCTTTGAC